CAGTGATTTTTTCAACTAGGTCTGTATCTGATTCCTGTATGTTATTGATATGTGTAGTGTTTGTTTCAATTCGATTAACATATTGTAGTTTTAGATTTTCTGTTTCTTCAAGTTTCATTGTGATTTCCGCTTGCTCTAGTTTGTCTACTAGTTTTCGAAAATCTAAATCTGGCTCTCGAATTGAAGAAGGATGAGATGCTCTCTTTTTTATTGCTATTTTCCTTGATTGAGGTGTTAAGTTCATCATTGAAATTTCTGTCATTTTTGTGTTTTTATAGTCATGTGTATTTAATGAATATTCTTTTCGAACTAGTGTTTCGATACGTACTGCTAATTGTTTGATGGTTTCATTTGGTAATCTGCGAATTTCATTACATAAAACTCTTTGGTGTTGTTTATATCTTTCGGAGTCAAACATTTTTGAAAATTCTTGTCTAAATCTTTTCCAGTCTGATTTTATTTCTATAGGTTATACTGAAAACCATTTTTGAGCTGCGCCATCTAAGGTTGTTTGTATCAACGCTGTGCGTCGATGTATCCAATTTTGATGTAGTGGTGTATTAATTGGTTCAGGTCCTATATTTAAAATTACATTTGCTGTTACTGCATTTAAATAATCTTCTACAGAATATTCAGGGTCTGTTCCTGTGAATACCATTAGTGGTTTATTTGATGTTATTGATGATCCACCCATAAGGTATGGATTCATTGTCATCTGTAGTGATACTGCGGCATTTGGCATTTCCGAAAAATTTGAAAGTTGATTTTTTGTTATTTCGTGTTGTTGAAGGTAATATGGGAGTGGTATTTCATTTTTCATTTGAGTTGGTTGATACGAGTGCATAGTCATTGGGTTTTGTGGTTGAATTGGTTGAAAAGATTGTGTATTAGTTGGATTTGGCATATGTATTGGTTGTTGATTTCGTGTATCTGTTGGGTTTGGAGAAAAAATTCTATTATATGTATGAGGTCGTCGCGATCCTTGTTTGCGATATTCTTGGATATATGGTGCAAAAATGTCTGGTTGTAAATAATCATCATCAGATGATAAGTATTCCGTATGATGAGGTGCTTGCTTTTTATTTTTATTTTGTTGAAAGAATGGGTAATTTTCACTATGATCCTGTGGAGGATGTGAATTAGTCCGAAAATTTACTGAGTTGGTTGTTGTCATTGGGTTATCCCAATAGTGAGAACATACATGATTATTATTAGTTTTTGGTGGCGGATAGTTTGTTTTTGACGAATGTGCATAATTATAATTGTGTTCTGCAAAAGTGTTTCTTGTGAACGTTCTTCGTGGTTTTGATGGTACTGTCATAGGTCTATATGTTTGATAATCCATATGTGAATATTTTGGAGCAACCGAAGGTTTAACGGTTGATTGTAAGGTTACTTGTGCCAGTGAAGTGTTTGTATTTTTTGGTGTTGTTAAATTTGGATGTATTGGTGAAATACTTTGTTGTGTATTTGTTGTTGTTTGGACAATTTCTTCATTTATGAAGTGTGATTGTGTTTGGATATCTTGTTGTGTAAGATTCCTAGTTCCATTAAGGTTTTCATTGTGTATGACGGTCGAATGTAAACTGTTACTTCGCGTATCAGGTAAAAATGTATTGTAGTTTAATGGTGTTGCATCAATGGTTAGTGGTACTACTTTTACATAATCTCTTTGATAAGATATTGTACTTATTGCTTGAGATTGATTGTGGGATATTTATAAATGCAGTCTGACTGTTCTGTAATGGCAGTATCATCATTTAGACTTTGAGGTCTGAAATTTTTTCTTGCTTGTGAAATTAAGTCTATATTATGTGCGAAATAATCTATTATAAACCATGTCAAAATTTTTTGTAAGTCAATTTTTGCGTGTTCTGAAACATCGTCTTTAGTGAAATTTTCTTTGATTATATGTAGAAAAGTTGAAAATAATGTGATTTCCTGTCGTACTTTTGTATGTTTGGATGTTTCAGTTGGTGAGATACTTTGAAATTCTGTTTTTTCTAATATAGAAATATAGGTATATATTATTGCAAAACTTCTTTAGTGAATATGGAGTTTGCTCTTTGTGAATTATGATATTGTATGCTTTTAATATATTCTAAGAATGCTTTTGAAAATTATAATTCAAGATCGTCTGTTTGAAGTACATATTTACGATGATTCGTATTTGGTGTGCTGAATTCTATGGTGTAGATTCCATATTGTTGTGTTAAATTACATATATCTTTCAAATAATGTTCAATAATTTGTCTTTTGATTTTTACATCTGGGAATTCTGCTTTGCATGGGCTGATTCCGGGTTCAAACAAATTTACAAGTAAATTCTTGCAAAAATCATGTTGCCCTCTATTATCGGGTGCATCTATAAGGAAGTGGTAAGCCTCTTCGTCATCTGGACTATCATCACTTTGAGTGTGGCTCATTTTTTTGTTTAATGACTGTTAATATATAACTATCGATGTGTCTAATTGGTTGATTCCAATTATACAAGTGTACTGGTTTGTGTTTATATTGCTTTTTTATTCTTCTTTTTCCTCTTTTTGATGAATTTGAAGTTGTTTCTGAATCGGAAAAATATATTTGATCGTGAATGGGACAATTTTTATCAATCGATTCTTTTAATTTGTAGAGTTCATCTAAATTGCTGGCTTCTGATTCTGAAAACGCGTTTCTATTTTATGAAAATCTTTTTCGTGTGATTTGTTTTTGTTTGTTTATTATTTTTCTTTTTTTTGTTAGTCGTTTTGTTCTAATGTATCCAACTGTTTGTGTATGAGGTGTGATTACAAGATCGTATTTTTGGTTATCTATCTCACAGTTGTGTAAAACGATTGTTTGTTTATTTCCTAGGTTTTTAAATGACATAAGGTTTAGGATGACGGGTGCAAAAGGTTGTTGAATGATTTCTATTTGCTTAAACTGTTAGTCCTTACGATTTTTTTGTTTAGCTTAGCCTGGGTCTATTTTTTCAGGGTTGGAGAGAAAAGTATATCGATTCCGAAGAATGATTTTTTACTTTCTCGTGGCTAGTCTAAGCTAAGGTGTTAACTTACTTAATCTTACTTAGGGGTAGTGATTGTGTTCAAGGGTTGGAGAAGAGTAAATCGATCCACAAGGTTCAGGTATAATTAGAACGCAAGTAGTTTGTTAGATACTATTTTAAACTTACTAAGTCTAAGATTTATCCTGGGTCTGGTAAGAGGAGGGTTCAAGTGAAGGATGAATAACCGAAGTTCTTCACCGTTTATCCTAATTTTGAATGGTTAATTTTGTTGAAAAATTTCTATTAGTCTTGGGTTTTTTTTGGAAGGGTTGGATAGTGAATCGACGTTTGAGGTCGTTAGACACTTGTTAAGTAGGTGGGGGAGAACAAAATTGTTCTTTTTGATCCAAGGATAGGCCTTGATGATCAGGTTTTAAATTTAATGAAATAGAAAATTTATTAAGATCCAAGGATAAGCCTTGATGATCTAATTTTAAAATTAAGTGAATATAATTTATTTTGGTTTAAATTTATTTAAGAAAAAGATTTAGTTTTTTAATGATATTAGTGAGCTTATGATTGCTGTTATGTTTAGGTGATGAAGCTGGGACAACAGATGATTTTATGATTACTACCAATTTATTGTCATGCTACTAATTTTTATTTTGATTTTCAATAAATATTTTTCAAACATGTTTTATATAAGACTGCAGAAACTAAGAAAACGATCTGAGATCTTTTTATCAATCGTTATTGTACATTAATAATTTTGTTTAGCGCTTGAAAAGATCATGAAGCGGCTGCTGAAGTTCTCTTGGAGAGACAACTAATTTCTAAGTTAAATTCAAATCTCTCTGGTGCTGAAATTACAAGTAATTTCAGCACTTACAAATAAGTGGGTTGTTAGTTAGATGGATCATGATTGGTTAATATTAAATACTTTACAGTGGTAAAATATCTAATTTATCCAATCATAAAATATAGTTTAGATCACGTTCCAATAATCAAATTGCACTGTAATAGCACATGAATGAAGCAAACATAAATAAAACAAGGACAACCAGTTGCTGTGCAAGTTGCTTAAAAAAATCCGACCGTTTTAATATAAAAAAAAATAGAATTGTTTTTTTTTTACTTTTCAAATTATTGTAGTTTTTAGTGGGTGGTGTGAATCTAAAATTATACGATCGCGTAGAAAAATAATGAATAAGGCATGATCGACAACACTTGTCTTCAAAAAATGCAATACCGAACAAAAAAGTACAGTATTTTTTTGCCAAACAGGGGTGGAATTAGGGGGGGGGCTGACAGGGGCGGATGCCTTTTGTTTTCAGGGATTCGATCCCCTGCTGACCCTAAGAACTAATTTGGTCCCCCATATGAACTATTTTGAGATATCCATTTTTGGCTGATGGACCCTAAAATTTTTCTAAAGGCGCCTTGGGTGCCAATATACACTAATTTTGAGGGTGGAACGCGTGCAGAATAACGTAATTTTTCTCTAAAGGTGGCCAAAAACGGCATTTTGACCTGATTTTTTTTAAGCTTTGCCTGCGGCACAGAAATTTTTTGAGAGACATTTTGGAAAGTTTGGGAGAACACTAAAAAGTCCGTTTGGAGAAACGGGCTTTTTAGTGCTTTGAGAGAGCTCGGAAAGTCAATTTCGTGGACCTAAATAACAAGAGAGACTATTCGATGTCAAAGTTATACAGGAATGTCGGTTCATTGTCATTTGACACTGAAGGGTCTCACATTTGGTATTAATTTGCTATTTTCATTTTGAGTTGACAAAACTCTGAAGTTTAAACAATTATACTTGTTCTGTGGTTTTTATGATGAAAAGTTGCTATTGTTTATGTGGTTATTGTTCATTTGAGAACAAAAAGATTTCGTTTTGAACAGATTTTTAGTATTTTTGGTTCACTGAATCATATACGTCGTTTGATAAGCTTACAAGAAGGTATGAATTGAAACTCTATGCAGACGTTTCCTTTTACTCTAGTTTAATACTTACAGATAGTGACAGCTCTTTCCTCGTCAAAGAAGCGTCCAGGTCATCTTCAGTCAAAGACTCATTATCAGGTTTCTCCTTGACCGAAAGGAACCAAAATGGCACAAACAGTAGCGTGACTACGCCCCAAAAATAGAACACCAGCGGCCATCCTCCTAGGAACTGACGGTCGGCAAGGATCCCACTGACAATCTGAGACACCACAGGAGCAATCTTGGACCCAGTCGTTGCTAGAGCCAGAAGAATTGTGTTTTCGCTTTCATAACTCCAGTATCCCATTAGAACCATAGCCGCCGGGTAATTTGCGCCGGACCACAATCCGACGAGTACTCGTACGGTGATCAGAAAAACGACATGAGCCGTGGCCGCAATGTGTGTTAGAAGAGTCAAAAGTCCAGAGATGATCATTGATAGACCCATGACAGTTTTCCCGCCCAATTTACCGGCTACTATTCCCCCTGGCACTTGCCCAATGGCGTAACCATAGTAGTAGGAGGAGAGAAGAATTCCTTGCATTTTAGGTGGCCAAGAGAAATCACCGGCTTGAAGACTGGAAGAGTTGATATTGGAAGTTTCATTCTATGGAAAAAAAAAACGTTTTTTTTTTTTCAGGTAGCGTAACTTAATCGGACGCTCAGGCAAACGGAAAGCTGAAAAAGGAACGAAATTTTCATTTTTTATTTCTGTTATTGTATATAAATTTTCAGTTTAAAAGCTCAGTTCATTTTGAAAACAAAAGTTTCGTAAATATCGCCAAACTGTCAGTCATATTATGTCTTAAGTAGGCCAAAGTTTTCCATCTTTTGTTACTTTTTACTAACAAACCCAGCTCCTGCTCTAAAACAAAATATTTTAAGACTAAAATTCTACCCAAAGATTTACAGGAAGCAAGAATAGCTGGTTGCACAGCTTGCTAGTAGCAAATATTGCAAGTAGCACAGATTGCTCCGACCGCATTCATCATTGCAAAAAATATCAAAAAAAAAATCTAATTTTGTCAAATATCTTTTTTATTTTATTCGAAGCTTGATATGATACATTTGCAAATTAAATTGATTTTTTCTTTGTTACAATTGATTGTGAATAGCAAAAATCTCAGCCTAAATTTTCTTCATATAGAGAAAATTTACTGTATTTTGTTTAAAATCAGAGTTTTTACTACAGATGAATTAAACATGGTATCCCACGTGACACTTATATTTCATCCCTAAAACGGCAAAATTCAATCAGTCATAATAAAAAAAACCGTACGCCATAGTTTCTTTCACGCTTTCGAGAGTGTTCAATAACAATTACAATAACAAGTACGCCACATCGGCGATAAAAGTACAGTTTGTAGAACTAGGATTTTCAAAGCATTTTATAACAATTATTTTTCAGAGAAGATCCTCCAAAATGCCCTCGATTTAGTTGGCATTACAATTGACAGATAAGCCATATATACCTGAAACGCAGCACAAGAGTTCATGGACCTCTGTGTCTCTGTCGGTTTCTGGTAAGCCATCTTCACAATAGCAACACTGAAGTCAGTCAGCAGAGCATAGCCAAGAAAGAGGGCCAATGAAGTCATAAAAGCCACGTACAGTCTGTACGAGGGGAAAAGCCGAGGCGTGAACGAATCTCGAAACGCGATTTTTTCATTCTCCTCGTCCGCCGAGTTAGAACCAGAGGCTGTTCTTCCATTTGCGTAATTTTTAGTCTCGCTGAACATACTTGAACATCTATCGCGTTGAAGTTCTGAGTATATCCAAGTTGCTTTTCGTGAAACTTCAATTAAACAATCTTTCGACGCTATCCTAATAAAAATCCGCGTATTAAAAACTATTATTCTTCCATGATAATTTTCGTAAATTGTTTAATCGATATAATCAGGAAGCGGTAGAAGTATAAAGTTTGACAAAAATCGAAGATATGACCGTGTTCAGTTTGATATATGATCCATTTCACGTTCACCTGATAAGATATAATGACCTTTGCTATTGCTATCACCTTTGAACTCTGGTGTAAATGATCACACTTCCGGCTCAACAATTCCAATACATTATTGAGCATTATATTATGGAAATTGTGTCAAATCTTGATAAGAGAAATCTTCAACGTTCCAATGGTTTGTCAGTCGGCGACCACAAGTTCATAGCACTCAGCAAAAAATGTTCCGAACATTATGAGGCCAAACTGTGCTCTGGATAGGCGCACAATTTTGTGTCTGTATGTTCCTGGATTCCATAGACAAACCTTTAAATATGTTCCAAAATTTAAGTCTCAAAGATATAAAAAAGTTTTGCAGGCTTAAGTGTTTGTTCTGACCATTTGCAAACAAAGCTAAAACAAATATTTTTTAAGAAAACTGTATCAAAATGGGTTTAAAATTTTTTGAAGTTGGCTATGAAAAATAAACTTCGTGTAGCCGGGTTGACGCCGCAGGGACAACAATCGCCGATTTGGCGCATTATTTCATGAATCAATGCTGCAAACTGACTGATTTGAATAAGTGACCATGGAATTCATGGCCAGAATCTGCGATGAACATTTTTTTTAACATGAGGCCCTGAATCATCAAAGATAAATCAATGCGACGATCGCTGGGAGTAATTGTATGTGACTGCAAAGCTGCAGATTATGCGTTTAATCGCCGTTGAAGATGTTTTTTTTCTTCAAACCTAAAAATCAGAGCTGATTCAAGGATAATTAAACGCTAATTCCGAACTCGGCGCTGTTTCAGTTTTAACCATGCATAACCTGACACTGATCAGAGTCTGAATCAGCTATGATTATCTCTGCGACGTCAATCCAGGTCAAGCTATTTGATCTTTTTTTTTCTGGTAGTTGAGAATTATTATCAAAAGCGACATTAAACCAATTAATTACAGGGAGCGACAATCACCCAGTTTTTGTATCAAAATTTTAAAAAAGTATTTCGTTTTAACGTGATAATATAGCGCTTGCAAGATTTTGACAGGAAAATTGATGACAAGTTCCAACCCGGTATTTTTAGATTTCAGCTGTTTTTCTAAAAAAAAAGGCAAATTAAATTTTTGCTACCATTTTTAACTAATTAGGAGCAGAAAAAAATTTTAAAAAATGTTTAAAATTTTGGAGTTCCCTGTACAACATTTTGCAACAGGTCATTACAGACTTTAGAGAACTGATTACTTTTAAGTAAGTGTTTAAAATCAACTACGACAATCGGGAAAACTTGAACAAATTTTGGAAAAAACTGAGAACTCAGCCAGATGTTTTTGTTCATCTTACGTTTCGTACATCACAACTTCGCTGAAATTATTGTAAACCTACTGGCATCTTCCGCAAAACAAAACAGATGTTAATCGACAGCACTTAACTCGATGTTCGAGTGGTCAGCAATACTCGAAAATTTAGTTACAAGTTGCCTGATAATTTATATTGCATGAAAAATAATGTAAACACTTAACACCGTGGTGGAGTTGAGGACTGCTTTGTAAAAAAAGGTGATAGTTCAAACAATTCTAGGTTGCTAGCTTTTAAAGCTTTTAAATTTGAGTTTTCCTTGTATACCAAAAGTGCAGTTCGAGGAAGAAAAAAAATTTAGGTTTTTTGAGCAAAAATTGAAACTACCCTTTAAATGATATTTTACAGTTAGTTTCAGAACAGCGGCGTGTTTGTGCCTCGGCGTCTTTATCGGTCAAACAGGTTCAAAATAACATAAAAAGTTTTAAATGAAATTCAAGTCATGAAAACTTATTCAAGTTAGTTTTTCAAATTTTTCTCTCAATAACACAAATGATGGACACATGACTCAATATAAACTAAACTGTTCTCAAAGCTGGATTTGAACGCCGCCTACACTAGGCTTTATTGAAAAATTGGAATTTTTACAATAAATTTTATCATAAGCTAGCGAAAACTTCAAAAATCCTAAAAAATTACAAAAAACTGTAAGTAGAAATTCCACTTCAATTTCAGTTAACACATCAAAACTTGAATTAAACTAACCGAATCAATGCTATGGTTAGTTAGGTGGTCCTACAAGCTTAAGTATTTTGTCCAAAGAAAATTGCATTGGTCTTATCAGTTCATTTTTAGAAAGTCTATTTTTAGAACAAATGGACACTGTGAACGAGTACTTTTGTTCTAAGAAATCCGAGGCGGCGAAATAAAGAGCACATTTTTATTCTTCTTTTTTAATCACGCTTTAAAAACAATTATAAAATAAAAAAAATGAACGGAAGAAAAGTGGGCTCTTTTCCAGACCCCCCCTTTCAAATTCAATTTCGAAAAGCTTATTTAACCTTGTCATAATGCAATGAAGCTTGGCGTGGTGAACAAATCGATAACTGTGAACAGATTTGTTCATCATACTTTACAGCGTAACATCACGAACTTAGCCGTAATAACACGTAAAACAAACATAAAACTCGGTATTTTGAAAGGGGGTGGTGAACTGGAAAAGAGCCGAAGAATGGAAAACAGCCAACATTGTGACTGTTTTTATTTTTTTATTTGCTTTTAACTTTTTTTCACTGAATGTTTTTACAAAAATTTGAAGTTAATTTTGGTTCTTTTCCACTTTCTCAAATTTTTTGCGTAAGGTTTTATTATGTCTGAAAGCTTGATGTTGCGATGTAGAGTATGTTTATCAAAATTGCTCGCAATTGTTCGTTTGTTCAAGTTTTCCTGCGTTATGACAACGCCAAAGTAGTTTCTCAATTTTGAAACTGTTAGATACTGGAAAAAGGAAAAGTATTTTACCATTGAATTTGTTTTCTAAAACCATTGCGGTCAGAAGATCCTGGGCTTTTTTTCCTTCCACCCACATACAAAATTTCACTAGTAATTGCTGTGTTCACATTTTCTTTTTATTACAAAAATTGGCATGCGGACTGATTAGGCTATGAAAAACATATTCATATTCGGTATCATGCCTAATGTACTATAATACCTCGCTACACCATAAAGTTGATTTAAATGTGAGGTGGGAGAGGAGAAGGAAAAAGACCCAGATTCTGTGCCACATGAACAGAAAACAGATCTCCTTGGTTACTTTTAGTCTAGATTGACATGAAAAGCGCCTTAAACAGTAAGTTTGACATGAGAAGCGCCTTAAGAAACAGTAAAAGTGCCTTTAACACCAAATTTTGGCTGAGAAAACTACCACAAAACACCATTGTGCCGAAAACATTCTGCATTAAACGATAGGCTGTTTTCCACTTCCCTCTTTGTCAAAAAGTATTACTTCCATAGTTGTTTTACCTTATTTTTTGGCTCAATATGTGATTTTGTGAAGAAGGTATTCAGAACTAATTTGTTCAAAATTGATTGCATCATGAAAATGTTTGAAAGATTTTTCAAAACTAATTTTCAAATTCGGGTGGAAAGTGGAAAAAAGCCAAAAGACTTTGCTTAAGTTGCTTAATTCGCCAAAAAATTTTCATCTCAATTTCAGAACTTCGTACTAATCTAACATTGCGATCGCATCGATCAAACAGAGCTAAACTGAAAAAACTTAGTTCATGGACCTTTGTTATAATATATAATTGTACACTTGAATTTTTGGCGCTTTTTCCTAGGGACTTCTTCCATTATGCCAAAATCGGTATCCAATTTTGTTATTGCGGAAACTCTCTATCTGAAACGATCATTTCCGAGTACTCCTTGTCGTCGTCTCGGTTGTCATTCCAGTCGTGTCGGTGTAATACGTACTCGAGCCAGTCAGGTTCGGATTCGGCTGTCCCGAAACATCATTCGGATCCAAATGATTCCCAGTTCCATTTGAAAATAACGAGCTTCGAACAATCACGTGATTCTTGTCACCCGGGCCCATTTTGTCTACTTTTGTCGTGATAGGGATTTGAACCGGTTCTATAGGCTCAACTTCAGCCTTCCCCCCATCCGCGATACTAGGTCCTTCTAGGGGGGTACATTCCTCCTCGGGGTCTATGAGGTTCTGGGTAATCGACGGTTCATCGGCTGCGATCTCCCCCGTGGCACTCGGAGACTCCGATTCCGATGGTGTTATCGTCTCTTTTCTCGGACCCTTGTCTTCGACCTCTTTTTCGGTTGGTTGCTGGAAGACATAACCCGTCTCTATAGTTCCCCGTTGGGTTTCTTCCTTTTTGGGTCCTGGTTTTGGCTCCTCTACTTTTTTAGGCTCCTCTTTAGGTGGTTCCGAAGGCGGGTCATCCTCTTCAACCTGTTTCTTAGATTTACAACACCCCATAATTTGAATTCGGGGTTTAAAAGGGCGAGACCAATTTGGTCCGCTTCAAAACGCCACGCGCAGTGCTTCAAGATCTCACTTCTTAATGTAATTGGTCAAATAAATGAGTTTAAGTATTAATTTCTTGGTTTACAGAAGTCGCCATTATAAAAATAAATCGCAATCTTGCAATTTTGCACGTGATTTATAACTAACAAGGTTATGAAGAGCATACGAATGATTTGCTAGGAAGCGATTCAAAGTTAAGTTTATTAAGTATGCGCCAAATTAAATCGTTGTAAGTGTGACTTTCTACACTGACGAGATTTAGTGCCCTAGACTTTTTGTATTTTGACTGCTTAGTTTTTTGCGAACAAACTGCTGTTCATGTGTCGCTAGAGGACGACAAATTTGCTCTTGAACTCAAGAATGAGTTTTTGATACGTCAGCCGATGAATTGATCCAAATTGTCTTCACATTTTTTACGTTTGTATATTCAGTTTGGAAAACCAAATTTAAATTTTACCAAGAATCTATTTTTCGTTGAGACATGAACAAAAACCTGATTTATTCAGGTCTTTTTCCTTCCCCCCAATTTTTTGGCTCTTGTTCTTTTTTCCCTCAACCTCACATAAACATCAAATTTATGGTGTAACGGGGGATTTTACGGTGTAAGAGCTCTTTTTACATTTATGGTGTAAGAGCTCTTTTTTCACTCAACACAAAAGACATTTACCCTTGAGAATGTTTTATTGTTGACCCAAGGCATGAAAAATGACGACGGAGTTTCAAAGCTAATAATC